TCAGTTAGCAGTTTGTCGGCAATGGCTTGTCGTTGATGAATGATGTCATTGAAAAGGCTGAAAAGCAATGATGTTTCTAAATGAACTGCACTTAAGACTGGAAGACTGTTTCTTGTTCAAATTTTTTCTTTTCATTCTCTCCTTTATTGCTGCATTTCTGTTTCTCTTTTGCCTATTACTGAAGATGCTCCTGTCAAGCATTTGTTGCTGCATAAAAAAATAAGGAGAAGAAAGTTACAGAAAACGATGTTATTGAGCAAGCAGGTAAAGGGACGAAACAAAACATAAAGAAAGAAATAAACGCTTTGAAATAGAAGCAATGAACCAGAAAATTATTTTATCTTCACTCTTTTTCAATAAAACTTATAAATAGCATATCTCCAAATAAAAAATCGGCTTTTAGTAACACATTTACACTAAAGTTTAGAAAAAAATAGATTTTTTTTTTCAAAGTTTAACAGCTACACAAAACACTTAGAAAGAGATTTGAAGAAAAAAAGAACAAAATGAAGGCTTCGGCTAACAAATTGGTAAGAAATTTAACCAGAAATCTGGCCAACAAACAAAAGCCTATCATGATTAACAGTATAATTTTTTTGACTCACAAATACGAACAGTCAGTTGTCGATTAAAAGCCCACTACACGATATACGTGTACTGCATAAAAAAAGTAGACAACTTTTTGCAACGTAAACTGCTCAAGACAGAAAAAAAATTACTAATCTTTACAAGTCTAAAAGACAAAAAGAATTCTATCTAAAAAAACGGATAACGAGCTATTAAATAGCATATTGGACAAAAAGAACAAAAGAGTACAACAGATAACAGTATTAACAAAAAAGAAATGACAGATTCTAAGTGGATGAGAAGCTGAAAGAAGAAAAAAGTATAATTTATAAAAAAGACAAAAGAACTCAAGCAGAAGACTAAAAATTTACTGTCAAACTAAAAAACAAAACAAAGAAACAAAACAAAACAAAACAAAACGTGGTCAGGAAAAAATGTTGAACAAGAAAGAGCAAGCAAATTTCTTATTGTACAAACAAAAAAATAACCCGATATTTTGTCTATTTTTTTTCTTATTTTTAATCTTATTTTTTTCTCAAAAAATTTTTTCATTACAAGACGCAGAGAAGCGAAATAAAACGAACAAAAAGTTATTTGTAAACTTTTTCACTTCATTTTATGATTTTATTTTTGCTTTTTTCCCTTCACTTTTAACAAAATTTTCATCATCTGTAGTTTTCAGAGCGATTCTTTACACGGCTTTTCTATGCATTTCTGTTAAAGGGTAAATAAAACAAAGAACAAAGGAGAGGGAAAATTTGGAGGAGGAAATGGTCTCGCTATACTTCGGTAGGTTCTGTGTTTGATGAGCCTATACAGGAACTTCGGCCTAACGATGTCAAGTCCTGTACACTTCTGGAATTCATCGCCTCAGTTGTTGTTGTTGCTACTGCTGCTGTTGCTGCTGTAGTCGACGTCGTCGGTGAACCATCTTCTTCAGAGGCGCGCGATACTGCCAACTGCGGTATACTATCGGTCACTAAAACAAAAACTTCTGAGGCAAGTTTTTTCAGTTCAGGAACGTTAAAAGCAATGGCTGTTTACGTATCAAAGTGTTCAACAATCTGTCTAGCAGTTAACTTTTTTTAATACTCATTAAGTACAACTAAGTGCAATGATTCTTCTCTAAAAAAGCCAAATACAAAGTCTTTAAACGTTAAAAAATGAAATTCTTAATTTTTGTAATTGTTACCTAACACTACTTATTAATTTTCTGTTTTTAGACAGAATAATACTTTTATTTAAAGGCTTATTTGTTGATACTACTTTTTAACACATTAATTAAACAAAAGAAGAAAGAGTTTTCACTCGTAATGAATAAAAATCAAAAATACCCAACAAAATTGGCAACAAAAAAACTTACGCTGCATACGAAAAGATCGTCTTAATGGCTCATTTTCGGGCACTGTTTCTACAAAAAGAAAAAACTTACTTCCAAAAATACCACCATAAGCTTTATACTTTGAAAAGCATTATTTTAGTGAACCGAAAATTAAAAAGCTGGAGAAAGACAGTAATTAAAAAATAAAAAATTAAGTTGGAACCATAAGCAGATAAATTTGCAAATTTAGAAAAGGAAAGCAATTTTTTGACATTTATGCAATACAGAAAAAAAGTTGTAAGGAAAAGACAAGAAATTTTTGGTTTGATAACAATACTTGTATTTGAAAATACGCAAATACTTTCCCTCCATTTACCTCTCAGCTTCCTCTCCCTTCTCAATTTCAAATCCTTTTTGGAGGAGCTGTAAGATAGATTTATGATTAGAAATTGAAGAAAAAAAAGTGAAACACCTGAAATTTTGTCTAACTCGTCTTCTTCAATTTCCAGGATTACCGGAAGTCTGTCATCGTCAAACCCAACCCGGGAAAGCTTTGTGTGTGGATACGACGGTAGCACTTGTACAGAATCACTTTCAACTGTCTGCAACTGAGTATATTTCTCAGTATCTGTCGCTTAGAACTATTTCAATGCCACCAAATTATAAACAAGAAGCGCAGCGAATGGAAACAGTCAGCTGCAGTATTTTATCTGTTAAAACTCAAAAATAAAGATATTCTTTTTACATTAGACAAAAATTTAGACGAATGAGAAATTTTAGATTTCTTATAGCAAGTTGTACGCCTTTATTGTTTTTCTTTTGTTTTCATAAAGTACCTTTTCCTCACCGAAATGAACTTTCATTATTATGTTCTTTAGTTTAAAATACAATTTAAAAAAATTTTTTTACTTGAAGAAAAAGAATTAAAAAGAAGTAAAAAGAAGGCAATCAAGTGATGTTTTATAACCTTAATTAGATCAATTTTTCATATAAACAGTAAAAAAAATAATCTGGATTTTTGAGAAGTACTTTCTCTAAGCTTTCTTATTAAAACCCTTAAGAGTATTATTTTGCTGTTTCAACCACCAAACCACTTCTTTTAATTTCTTTGCAGAAATTTTGCAGAAATTTTTTCTTATTTTTCAGTTAAAAACGGCAGCAGTTTTCATCCAAATATTTGTGAGCGGTAAGAAAAGGATAAAAAGAGAGGCGAAGAAAGCATGAAGCGATGGGAATTTCAGTAGAACTGTCAAAACTGTACAAATGAACGAGAGTTTTAAACGAACAGAAGATAGGTGCTAAATTTCTTTTTTCTCTTTCTAACTTTTCCAGAAGGAGAATAAAAAGTGTTTACACTTATATGTGTCAAGCAAAATTTTTGTTGTTAGTCAGAAACTTCAGTGTAACCGTTTTTCTCAGTTGTTGTTTCTGTCGAAACTTTCAGATATTTGTGGCACTGTAAAAAAAAAGGCAGCAAAGAAGAAATCAGTTTTCTACGTAAAGAGTCAAAGCTGAAGATATCTCGGCTTACTTACCTTTTTCACAAATACCTTGCTTTTGTGGCTGCGGCTTTTAATGTTCAGTTGCCTTGCATAAATGCAATGGATCAGCATGCTAACGGCTATACTCGTACCAACAAAAAACAACGTTAATAAGGTGCACAAAAGTAAAATTTGAACGCTGGAAGCTAAAATGAACATAACGTTAGCATCTATTTTCTTCTAGAACAATTACAGTGAGATTAAAACAAGTTGGAAAACGTTGATTGGTAACCGATGAAACAATTATCTGTAAACAAAAAAAAACCGGTTATCTAAGATGTTAATGCTAGTTTTTTTTTTGATAGTGATTGATACACTAATTTAGTTGCACTTTTTTCTTCATATCTGTAGTAAAAATTTATAAAAAAGCAACAAAAGATAAATTAAAAAAATAACAAAAAAAAAAGAAAATTTACATGAATGATGATATTTACAATATCCATTTGGTGGCACTTCGATAGAACCATTCATAAAATATGACATCTCACCAGTTTCTGGCATCCGAACATAAGCCTTAGTAAAACAAAGCCTCATTACTATATTGAAACATAAGCTAACAAAACAACTCCAGAAAGGCATCATTTTTTCTTCAACATTTTTTTTAATATACTAATTAGCATGATAATCAATAGAGAGTTACAAGCGTAAATCAAAGAAAATTTTTCATTTCTCATTTGCCTTTGTAAAACTTGGCTTAACTAGCTTTGCTGTTGCTACCTTTCTAGTTCAATTTCAGTAATTATCTGAACAAAAAAGAAAAAAAAACGGAACAGAAATTTTGTTGTTAGTTAGAAACTTCAGTGCAACTGTTTTTCTCAGCAGCAGCAGCAGAAGAAGAAGAAGAAGAAGAAAAGAAAAAAATTTTAGCATACGGTAAAGAAATATTTGTAGATGATAAGAGCTCTGATAACTAAAGCGAAAATTTAAAAAATTTTTACCGAGCCGTAACAAAAGAAATAGTATCTACACTCTGAGTTAGGATACGAGGAAGATTGACAAAAACATTCATTATGCAGTTTTTTTCATTTTTTTTTTCATTGCCTTTTTTTGCGCTATTTTTGATGTTTGGGAACCAGGCAACAAAGAATTCAGATAATAGAGCTGGTGAAGCTGAGAGCATTGTCAAAGAAGTGTAAAAAGTGTTCTCGACAACGGAAACTTGGATACCGTTGTTAGAAACAAGCGAAAAATACATACACGTCAAAAAAACTCACTTCAGCCCGGTAACTTTTCCGGTTATTCCATAGTGTTTGTTCTCTGAATTTAACTTTTAATTCCAGCGGATAATTGCCACTACCAATTTGCCGGGTTTCCAATGTATTTTTAGCAGTAAACGTTGATGTAACAGCTTCGTCTCTAACAGGCGTCTAAAATAAAAAACTTCACCAGACGCTCAACCTTTCAGAAACAATCTAAATTTGTAGAATTTTCTTAGGTTTAGTTTAGCTACAGTATCTGAGCATTGAAAAACTTTTGCACTATTAACCTTTCGTTGTTAAAGTTTTTTGTGTCATTAATTTTAAATTTTACTGGTTCTGTTGCAATCAGCATCATTACCTCTTTATTACTTTCCTACCTCTCCCTCACCATTTCACGCTCCTCGTCATTATCATTAAAATCATTCTTGTTTCTCTTTTCTTTTTTTTTTCTTCTTTTCTTCATTAGAACTATTATCACGAAGCTCACTTTTATTAAGTTATTATTATTATTATCATAATTATCCTTATCAACAGCATTACCGTCATCAAAATCGTTCTTATATCTCAATTATTTTAATCTTCGTTGCTATTGAAGCAGTAACATCTAGTGCCTGTTATGACTACCGACAGGCAAACCCTTAATGTTAGCTGTTCAATATAGCTGTTGAATGCGCCATTCAGTTGTAAAAATGGTTGTTAAAAAAAAGAATGAAAACAGATGTAGAAAAAATTAGTTAGAAAAAAAAGGAAGATTGATAAATCAGATGAAGCAGTGATAGCTAATCAAAAAAAAAAAAAAAAAAAAAA